AGAGAGGGCGTGCGTGCGGAGTGGATGCAGGCGCCAGGCAGTAGGACGGGGACGAGATGGCGACCGGGCGGCGCGAGCGCAGAAGCGCGTCGGACGAGGACGGGGAGACCGGCCGGCGGGGGATGCACTCGGCGGGCGCGAGCGTATCGCCTTGGCGCGACGGGGGATGCGAGTCGGCAGGCGGGGCGCGCTCGCGGTGCGCCGGAGGAGCGGGCGACGGCGGAGGGCGGCGGGCGCGTTCGACGAGAACGTGTGGGTCGTGCGAGAGCGGACGCGCAGGACGGACGCGCTGAGAGGAAGGAGAGGGAGAGGGCCCAGAGGGCGCATGGGTACTGGTACTCACCTCGGCCGTTCCGTCTCGTACTCCCGCTGTCTCAACTCCTCTCCTCGTCGGGGATACACGGGCGGGCCCCCCAGACGAGCGCGTCGGGGCTGCTTGCGCGGCGGGCCATCGCTCCGCCGAGTATCTCGCTCGGTGAGCCCTCCAGGCTGCTGCGGCGGCTTGCGCCTCACGCTCGTGGTGTGCGCGCACGACAACGCGCCCGTGCGAGCGAGGCGAGAGGGTGCGGGCAGGTGGCTCCTCGTCCTTGGGACTTGAGCTGGCAACCTGGGCGACGCTTAGGTTAGGTTATGAGAGCATTTTGACCGTCCCTGGGGTGAACCTAGCGCCCGCGGAACCCTATAGGCGCCGGGATAAACCCTATAGACGCCCAAATTTAAACGGGCTGCACCAGGTACGGCTTTGGGGAGGCGGAGAGCAGGTGGGAGGGGTGGGTCCCGACATGAGCAATGAGTGCGCGGTACGTGTGTGGGCCCGCAGTACGCGGGGCGTGCTTCGCCGGTGCGCAGCGCGTGGGGGGGGCGTGGGTGGCCACGCGTGGCTGTGTACCGGCGGCGCACGGCGACAGGGTGGGCGACGCAGCGGCTGGGGCGCGGGGTGGGCGGCGGCGGCACGCGTGGCCGTGTGTGCGGGTGGCAGCAGGCGCTCGCAGGGCCGCAAAGCGCGAGTGTGCGTCGGCGACGCGCAGCGCGTGCGGCCCTGCGCGCCAGCGGAGCCACCTGCACGCTGCCGGCCGCGCGGGATGCCGAGGCCCACCCCACGCCCCAGCCGCTGTATCGCCCGCCCTGTCGCCGTGCGCCGCCGGTACACAGCCACGCGTGGCCACCCACGCCCCCCCCACGCGCTGCGCACCGGCGAAGCACGCCCCGCGTACTGCGGGCCCACACACGGACCGCGCACTCATTGCTCATGTCGGGACCCACCCCTCCCACCTGCTGAGGTTCATGTGTCGCAGTCGATCGTGAACAGCAGGTCATTAAATTGTCATACAAGCAGATGCGGTAGATACAAGATTGACAGGGCGTGACATTCATCCCGGCGACCACGGACACGATCAGAACTTCTTCCTGCGTTCACGCGTCCTCTTCGCGCTGCCCGTCGGGAGCTCGTCGTCACCAGCGCCGAGACGGTCGGTCGGGACGTAGGTGCTGGGCGTACCGCGACGGGGACGACCGGCCGAAGCGGGCGACGCAGCCTTGCGCTTGCCCTTCCGCTGAGCAATCGGGATGTTCGATTCGCTCGGGGCGTCGGCTACGCAACCAAATGAGTAACGTGGCAATGGAGAACGGGACCACTTACACAAAGGCGAAGTGTCGCGCCGCGGTTCCTCCTCGAGCTCGGAGATGTCCATCATGCGGGCGTCCTCGTGAGACATGTCGAGGTCCGAAGCGTGGCTGTCGACCATTTCGACGTCCGGCGTAGGGTCCACAGGCGGCGCGGCAGCAGCGTTGAGCGCAGAGGTGGGGATGGCGGGGGTCGCGGCGGGAGCACTGGAGCTCAGCGAAGCGTCGGTGAACTTCTGCGTGAGCGCGAAGGGATCCGCGGGAAGGAGTTGCGAGGGCGGGGTGTGCGATTCCGACTGACGCCACCGAGACGGGGTGCTCGGTCCTCCCTGCCGGGGAGTTGTAGATTGTGGACGTGTAGATTGCGGCAGGGGGGTGGAGGGACGGTCGGCGGACGGCGGAGTGGTAGGCGGCGGAAGGAGGGGCGCGCGAGGCTCAGCAAGCGACGGGGCGTAGGCGGGTCGTAGGCGGCGGTGGGAGGGACGCGCGAGGCTCAGCAGGCGACGGGGGGTAGTAGGCGGCGGCGGGAGGGACGCGCGAGGCTCAGCAGGCGGGGAGTCACGGGCGCGGCGGGGCGCGGGCCGGGGGGGGGGAGGGGGGGGGCGGGGCGGCGGGGAGCGGGGGGGAGTGGCCGACGCATGAGACGTCGAGGTCTTGTCCTCCTCAGACTCCGGCTCGGGCGTCGTCGTTGAGGGGGTGACTGCCTTGGCCTTTGCGCCCCTCCTGCGTGGCTGGGGCCTCTTCGTGGTCGGCTTGCCGCCCTTCTTCGGAGGGTCGACGCCGTCGCCCTTCTCCGAAGGTTCGGCCTCGTCGTCGCTGATAAAGATGGCGGGCGTCTTCGCCGCCTTCTTCTGCTTCCTCTTGCGCGGGGTGAGGGCCTGCTCGACCTCAACGCTGCTGGCAGTGGTGCCGTCGTCGTCCTCCTCAGGGTCCGCGGGCAACTCGACGTCAGCGTCACCGATGAGGTGAGCGATCTTGTTGCCGAGGAGCAACATGACGACGCGCTCTGTGAAAGCGTTCAGTACGAGATACTAGACTGGGAATGGGGAACTTACTGAGCTCGAAGTCCGCCTCCATGAAGGCCTGGTGCATGACGCCCTTGTCGAACGCGATGGTGTTCAGCAAGACGTCGACGCTGGCGAGTGTGATCAGATAGTAGATCAACACGTCGGACTTCTGGCCGAAGCGAAGGATGCGGCCGATGGCCTGCTCGTCCTCCTGCGCAGACCACGTCGTATCCTGGCGCAAAGTCAATGCACGGATGGTGAATAACGGCATAGCACTTACCACGAAGATCATTATGTTGGCCCACGCAAGGTTGAGCCCGGTGGCGCCGACCGACGACATGACGAGGACCGTAGGGCCGTCCGCGCCCGCCTTGCGGAAGTCCTCGACGACGCGCTCGCGCTGCGCCGCGCTGAGCTTCCCGTTCAAGAACACCGCCTTGATGCCGTAGAAGTCGAAGACCTGAAATTGCAAATGTGAGTTGTGCAGTGGATGGTAAGAAACTTACTCACCTTGCGCAACAGGTTGTTGTTGGACGGGAAGTACGAGAAGACGATCATTTTGTCCGGCCCCGAGCCGTGGTGAGTGGAATAGCCCTTGAAGTCAGGGTCTGGGTACAGCTTGTTGGACTCGGGAAACGGGGCAGGTCGCTGAGGGGAACACCGCGCAGCTCCGTCTTGATGTTGAGAGGCGGGGCCTTGGGCGTGCGGTGGTGGTGGATGATGTCGACGAGGGCGGCGAGCTTGGCGGTCGGCATCTGCTCGAATTCCTCCTTGCTCTTCGGCTCGGGGAATTCGGTCGTCGACGACTGCGAGAGGTGGAATGTCGCGCGCCGCAAATCTATGTAAAACGACTGTGACAAGTCAGTATCGGGGTCTGAACGGGGTGTGCGTCGGCGGCGCACGCCACGGGGGGGGGACGCACAAACGCCGGGGTTGTGGGCCGGCGACCCTGCTGTGCCCCGCACGTGCAGTGTGATTCGCCGGAGCACACCGCGCAATGGGCGTCCCAGCCACCCGAGCGTCGAGAGCGGCTGCCCCCGCGCGCTGTGCTTCGGCGAAGCACGTTGGGTGGATGGCAGTGGGGTCACGTGGGTAAAGTGGCCCCCCAGGCGGTGTGAGCCGCCGACGCACAAGATGTGGACGGAAGTGAAGTGCATACCTTGTCGCTCGCGGACGTGTGGCTCGTGCCCACGGCTGCGCGCGTTGTGCCCGCCAGCTCGGCCATCATCTCCTGCTCGTACTTCGCCAGCCGCAGCATGAGCTGGATCCTGTGTGCAGGGGGCAAGCCCTCGAAGTCCTGCCCCTTCTGGTGCATGGACTCGATGGTCCGCCGACAGACCTTGCCGAAGAACCGAGCGCGGAAGTCCGTCATGATACGCACCGTCTCCACCACGCTTTGCGAGACACTCTCCGCATTACCTTGACCTTTCGGCTCCTGCGATGCGGCCTTCGCGGCCTTCTTGCCTTTGCCCTTCTTGCCGACCTTGTCGGCGTCCTTCCGGTTCTTCCGGTCTTGCGAGGCGGCGCGCCCCAGAGATTTGCGGAACTCGTCGAGGACGGCGAAGTGATCGTCGCTGAACTTGTCGACGCCCAACAGCCGGCCGAGGGACGCGAGATCCTGTGTGAAATGGTTAGGGGTGTTGGCTAGCACGCGGGCGGAACGCACCAAGGCGTTGGTGATGGTCGGGGTGGCCGTCATGCCAATCATCCCGCCGGCCTGCTCGCGGAGGCCGCGCACCGCGACGAAGAGCTGATTGACGCGCCGCATGGTGTGGACCTCGTCGCAGATCATCAGACTCCAATGGCGATTGTACACCGTTGGGGCTTTGGCCTTTGCCAGCGTCGCTGCCTTCCGCTGCCGGCGCGTGCCCAGATTCCACGGCCTGTCCGTCAGCTTTGTGAACAGCTCCGCGCCGTCCTTCTCGACCGCCTAGGAGCAAAGTCAGCTGGGACAACCAGAACTCAGCCGACGTACCGGGTTGGTTGCGACAATGATTTGACGTTCGGGGGGCTGCGCGAAGTTGTCGACCGCCTCCCAGAACGCCGCGCCCTTCGCGCCGCGCACCGAAGATGTGTATGAGATGAGGTCGAAGGTTTTCGGGCGGACGTAGCGGTGGATCTCGGAGACGACTTGGCGCTCGAGCGCGACGGGGACAACGATGAGAGTGGGTTCAGAGGGGGTGTTGCCCTCGCGATGGTACTTGATGTTTGCTATGAAGACGGTGGTGAGTACATGTCAGACTAGCCGCAGGACGTACGTACCGAATTTGCCCGGGAAGTGGCCGTGCTGCGCGTAGTGGGCATGGAAGAAAGCGAGGCAGCAGACGACGCCGACCACTTGCATGGTCTTGCCGACCCCAACGCCGTCCATGAGGAGGGTGGGGTCGCCGCGCAGGTAGTTGTCGAGCATCTTGACGACGCCGATCAACTGATGCCAGTGGGGGCGGAGCGGGACGGCGTCCGTCGCGGTCATGGCCTCGATGCCCTTGGGGGACCAGGGATCGTGGACGCCGGTCGCGGCCTCCGCGGTGTTGAAAAACGGGATCGTCTTCTCCTTGGCGCGACCCAGCATCGCCCAGAGCTCGTCCTCGGAGAAGCCCTCGTACTCCTCGACGCCGGTCCCCCAGTCCATCTCGGGCGCATCGGCGCCGTCGACGTTTATCTCGATGGGGTCGGCGACCTCATCGCTGAGGATAAGGTCGAGCTCGGTGGTGAGCGCGCGCACTTCCTCCTCGTTCGCGAGCAGGCGGATCGCCTCGAACACCTGCTTGGGGAGCCCTTGATACGCGTCAAATATGCGCTGCAGCACGAGGCGCGGCGGGACTTACCGGGCACGTTCACCGTCGTGTCCTCCATTTGCGTCCTGAGGTCGGCGACGCGTTGGAGCTGCCGCTCGAACGCCTGGCAGACGACGCCGTTGTCGAATTTCCGCGAGATGGCGATTTTGTTCTCCATCCGCTTGACGTACGCCTTGATGCTCCGAGAGGTCGGGTTCTTGATAACGGCTGCAAACGAGTGAGGGACGTTTGGATGGGCGTACACTATGCTTACCTTCCCACTTCTGGTCGAGCTCGGCGGCCTCCTTCTCGAGTTGGCCGATCTCGCGCTTGATGCGCGTCGCCTCGCCGTGCCAGACCCAGGCCGTCATGCGCCCGATGACCTGCGGCGCCCACATGACGAGGAGGTTCGAGTTCTCCAGCGCAACGGCGTCACCGAAGAGTTCGCGCGCGATGTTGGTGTACTGGGAGTTGACCTGGCATTGCTCCATGCTAGGCAGCTGGGAATGGAGGTGAGTCAGCGTGCTTGTGCAGCGATGAGAAGGACGTGCCTTCTGCGCCTTGTTGAGCTGCATGACCCGATATGGGCCCATCCCGTTCTCCTCGAGGACGCCGATGAACCGCACACGCACATTCCACACGCCGAGTCGCGCCTTGAACCACCGGAGGACGGCGTCGCGACCATTGTTGTACTGATCCTTCTGCCGCAGGAATTCTTGCTTCGTCATATCACCTTGTACCGCTCGGTATTTCGCGAGGAACGTGCGGACCGCCTTGAGCAACCGCTGGTCGTTCTCCAGCCACGCCTCTTCGGGGTCGGCCTCGTCCCAGGGCACGGTGTCCAACCCGGTGAGCTCGTTCCAGCAGCCGTCCTCGACGAAGGTGTCGATGGTGGCGGCGACGTCGAAGAGAGTTTCGTGGAGTTTCCAGACGGGCATGGTGAGCGCCAGACAGAGAGGGGAGAGAAGAAGTGGGGAAATGATGTGATGTCCTCGTATATATATGCCTTTGGGGCGCCGAGCCCTGAATCCATATCTGGATAGCGTCGAGCCGCAAACGTAGTGCCATCACCACGGGGCGCCGCGCATGCTACAACGTCGCCTAGAAGCGTAGGATGGACGTACACCAGGAATGCACACTACTTCATTGGGATACGCCGCGCCGCGGAGGCACCTTCCCGTGACGATTCCGCTCGCTAACCCGATTAGGATTGACAGCGGTGCGCGCGGGAGGCAATCAGGACGATCTTAGCACCTATTCACGGATCGGGGCCCGGACCGGGACCGATCGATGGGGGCTATACACGAGGTGTGCGTCGCTGGCGCACACGGCGCGGGGGGCAGCCATTTCCACGTGACCGGTCCGCCCTGCCCCCCGCCCCGCCGTGTGCGTCGCCGGCGCACGGCGCGTGGGGGGCGGGGGTGCGTCACGTGACTCAACTCCTGCCCACGCGGCGTGCCTCACCGGCGCACAAAATGAGCATAGGCTGGTGCTGCGCCCGGGTGCGCTGGGTCGACGGAGTGCCCCGCGCGGTGTGCGCCAGCGAAGCACACACCTCGCCTGGATATGCTCACGAATGATTGTGGTTCCTCATGCATTGTGACGCTGTGTAAAGCTGGTTGTATTTCCAAACAGGGACATCTACACCGCCTACTCGCATCTGTCCCTGTCCTACATTCGATGTAATGCATGCACCCTAAACTATCAGAACCCCGTTGGTTGAATGATCAACCCTTGGAAGTTCACACTGGGGGATCTAGATGGCGCAGGCTGAGGCTCTATGATCAATCCACCGAAGTTGACGGTGGAGGAGGACCGACGCGCAGATGACCTCGGTAGGGACTGCCGAGGCTGCGATTGGCGTGGCTGCGATTGGCGTGGCTGCGATTGGCGTGGCTGCGATACCCGAGGCTGCGGGGGGTCCGAGTATCGAGGCACGGAGAACCGGGGCACGGAGTGGCGGGGCTCGGAGCGCCGGGGCTCGGAGTGCCGGGGCTCGGAATGCCTCGGCTGGGGGGGGTCAGGCTGCCGGGGCTCGGACCGCCTTGGGTGCAAGGGAGGTGGGGGGGGGCGCTGCCGCAGCCGGAGCTGTTGCTCGTCCTCGTCCTCGGCCTCCTCCTCCTCTTGACGGTCCGCGACCCGACGATCAACGACCATCTCTTCATCCTCTCCCGCGTCCGGCGGTGCATCGTCAATCTCGATGTCGTTCGTCTCGTCACACTCGGGTCGAATGCTGTACTTGATGTCTCTGTTGTGTAGGAGCGGATTCAGTGCGATCAAGGGCGCGGGACCGTCGGAATCGCGCGGGATGCGGATTGCTGTGCTGTGCCCGGTCTGCCTCGTGCTCCACATCCTCTCGGATTCCGGAAAAGGCAGCCAGAGCAGCGTCTCGAACAACGTGCGGAGCGCGTTCCGGATTCTCACCTGGTCATGCGAGTTGTACTCCCGCATCATCCCGCCGTAGAGGCCCCAGTATACGCAGTTGGTGTAGTTCTGTACGGGGTGCGTGATGACGGTCCCGAGCAACGGAAAGAAGCGGTCAAACATCTGGCCACTCCAAATAGTGGGCGTCACCACCATTAGCCGGGCCCTCCGCAACGGCAGGGCCGGCGACTGAAATAGTCCGTCCGGCGTGTTGGCGACCTCGAGGTGCGTCACGGTAAGATAGCTGGCGAGGACTGTGTCAACCGGATTGGGCGCTTTAAGGAGCAGGTCGTGCTTGAACTGCTCCCATAATCCGTTCACTTGTTGGTCTGCGCGCTCTTCTGGTTCGTCGTCGTCTCGTGCCCGACGCGCGCCGCGTCGCGCGAGGCCATTCGCGACAGGCTGCACCCCACCAGCATTAAGCCCAAGGTTACGCTCGGGTATGGCGATGGTCCGCTGCTCGGCGCTCGAGTTGGTCATGACCTGCCGATTCGACCTCCGGTTTGGGTTCGGTCTCCTGCGCTGAACCACGATGCTGTGGACACCAAACTTCGCAGCGAGAGACACCATGTCGGCACAGGTGTACATCGCCGCGAGGTTCCTGGCGTCCAACGTGCGTCGACTGTCCAAGGTTAAGAGTCCATTCCTAGACTCCAACGTCGCCAGGAAGTAAAGTCCTAGGCTCCCGTCCACCGGCTTCATGTTGTCACTCTCGAGCTGGTCGTCATCGAGCTCCTGGTCGCTCGCCGTTGCGTCGTGCTCAAAGGCCGCGGACATCTCCTCCAGCTCCGGGTATGGGCTCGTAGTGTTGGTCCGGTACAAGACCGAGTTGAGGATATGCGTGATCATCACCCCAAGCTGCAGGCTCCCGGGAGTAATGCGCAGTTCGGGTGATGCACGGTTCAGGTTCTCGAGGACGGCGTAACACGTGAAGACGCGCCAGTACTTGAAGCTCCTGATATAGCCAGTCATTAGTCAATGGAAGATGCAACGCACAAAGCACTGCTTACCACCAACGACGTGCAGGGATGCTGACACATGCTTTGGTAAGCATTTCATATGGCACGTCACGCAAGGCCGCGCCACACTTGTTAGCTGCCACTCGGACTTCGTACCGTGCAGACGCGGGTTGTGCCGGGTGGCCTGTTCCTCCCGAATTGTCAAATAGCACCTCCGTCCATTTATTGATGCGGTCCAGGAGGCCTCCCATATTGCCGGGGAGCAGCTCGCTGGGGGTCACCTTCCGCCATTGTCCGACATGGAGCTGGTAGTGCATCTCCTTCTCCGTGCAGTAGACGTTCACGTACTTGACGCCGTCCGCGCGGCCGATGATGGTGGTAGGCACTCGGAAGCCGGAAATGTCACTCAGCTGGACACAGGCATCGCGCAGGAAGTTCCTGTTTGCGATGAGGCTAGTGATCCCTGCCGCCGACGCATGGGGCATGGCATGCTGCAGGATTTCGGCATGGAACTCGTCCTTCCAATGGACCACGTGACCTGGATGCTCGACCTCAATTGCCACATCTACGTACCAACGGTGGGCAAGGTCGGCATTAGAGATCTTGGTGAAGTCGAGATGCTTGAAGGTTTCTTTGAGAACCCTCTTTGCGTCGTCGTTATCGTGGGGATTGTGATGTGTTCCGCCTTTGGCCCCTCGCACCTCGTGGTAGAAGAAGGCGTTGCGGAACTCACGGATCCCTTCCATGGATGCCTTCATCTTCCGGACGAACCTGCCGATCTCCAGGGCGCTAAGTTCTACGTTCTTGAAGTGATACTGGCCGTGGCGATCGCGCGCCTGCATTTCCGCGCTCCCGTACGAGCCTGGCCAATGGCTGATATGCGGGTGATTGATGTCGCGCAGGCTGGGAAGCACTATCTGCTCGTAGAATTCCACTAGCCGGTCGTGCGAGATCGCTGGTGAGAGGTGCGGACTCCACATTTCCGGGAACATGATGTTCGTTTTTGCATGTATGCCGACCTTGGCGAACGCCATGTTGGGGATCCTCGACAATTCTATGGCCTTGGTTTCCTATATGGCGATTTCAGCATGAGACAGCGCACGGACTTTGGATTTGACTCACTCCACCCCAAACAATTGGCCATGTCAGGTGCACCGGTGCCTTCAAAGTATCGCGGAACGGTGAGAGCGGCCACACGTGCAGATTCACGTTGTATGGCAAATCCCGCGTGGCACCAAACATTGAATCGATGTCGCGGACGACCGCGTAATGGTCCACATCTGGCACATCATCCCACTCGTCCACCGGCTCGGGCATCTCATGCCCGTCACGAGCATTTACCCGGATACGGCGCTCCGCCCTTCGGTTCGTGTCGTAAAACCGACCGCACAACCCCACCAAGCCGATCTCCAAATCTAAACGCTCCGCCGCGCTCTGCCTGTCCGTCCACGTCCTCTTGACCGCCGCATTGTACGCGCCCAAGCTCATGTGGCTGTGTCGAAGGTGGGCATCAGGGTGGTTCGCAGGTTGCCAGTTCATATTGAGTGTAGTCAGGGAGCGTCAGGGAAAGCAGTGGGGATGGGGAATTGCTGCGCTCTCTGGGGTTTATATATCTTTTGTTGGCACCACTGCCAAGGCTGCAATGTCATGACATCTGAGACATGCACTCGCTACTGTGCTGGCAAATATATATTAGACACGCTACGCGACCCGGCCCCACCCTTGGCGTGGCCTGAAACCCTGGCGCCGTCATGAATGATCCCCAGGCCCCACTGTCGCGGGTCATTAGGGGTCCGCCGCACTAACCTGTTTGTGGCCGTCTCCGCTTTCCAATTTTCCCCAAATAAGAGAGGTCCGTTGGGAAATACCTGTGCTGTGCGTCGGCGGTGCACACCGCGCAGTGGGCTGTTATGTTTCCCGCGGGGGCCCCCCTCTGCCGATGCCTCGTGTGTGCGCCACCGACTCACGCCGCGCGGTGGTCCTGCGCATGGTGCTAGCCACCGCGCGACAGCCTCACGCTCGGCGGTGAGCGATGGCGGCGCACACAGCGCGTTGAGCTTCGGGGGCGCACACCGCGCGTTGAGCTTCGGGGGCGCACACCGCGCGTTGAGCTTCGGGGGCGCACACCGCGCGTTGAGCTTCGGGAGCGCACACCGCGCGTTGAGCTTCGGGGGCGCACACCGCGCGTTGAGCTCTGTCGGCGCACACCGCGCCATGTCCTCCGGCTGCCCGAAGTGCGTGGTGTGCTTCGGCGGCGCACACCGCGCGGCTGCCCCCCGTGTAACCAAGTCTTACCGCCCGCTGCGCTCCCCTCGCCGTGTGCCCTCCCAGTTTCACCGGGGTGCGGTGCCGGGACGCATTGGGCCATCTTGACCCAAATGTTTCCTACTTAAATGTACCTTGTAGACAAACCTTAATTTATGTTGGCGAACCGTGCAATCCCAAACCACACCAGACGACATAAGGTTGCCAAGTCACCGATGCATGATACAAGTTTGAGCATTTGCATCAGCAGAATCAACAAACCCTCTTTATTGCACTTGTACTGCTTATCA